ATATCAACGGCAGTCTGAATAGTATTACTGTTTACAGCTTACAGGAACACAGACACATGTTTACTGTAGGCCTATGTCTTAGACAGACATGAATCTAGTGATAATATAGGAAATGAATTAACAAAAATGGAGGTTGCTTGGTTAATCCTGAGGCACCAGTTGTAAATGCCATAAGATAACTATGTTCTGTCTGTTTTGTCTGAGGGGGGCTGACATGACTTTGAAAACCCCTGATTTAACAGGACTTCTAAGGAAGAAGTCACCTTTGACCACTGGATAGATTAACCTCACCTGTGAGAGCCCCCCGCTCTTCGTGACAATCTGTGCAAAGGACGTTTGGCCGCTGACTCAGTCCACTTCGTGTATAAAAAATATGAAGAAAAACAAAACACAGACTGATCAGGTCTTCATTAAAGTCTCTCGTTCCTTCTGCTTTCCTGTTACTTCTTCTGAGTTCACATTCATTGTTTCGGTAATCTGAAACCAATCTGGAGGCTCATTGCAAACAGAAAAAAGATGATTGTACAAATAAAAGAAAACAGTGATCTCAGCAGCTTCAAAGGCAGCAGGTTGGAGTGGAAACATGTGAAAGACAGAGCGTTCTGAAATGTGTAGGCCATTTGTATGGAGATGTGAAAGAGCCCACGGACACAAGAATGTTTGAATGTGCTGACGACAGCTGCAGTTTATTAAGCAGCAGTTGTGTTGAAGGACACATTGGACAATCGGGGTGTTTGGTGGTGCCAACAAAAGTGATAAATAAAAAAAAAGTGGAGCTGATACTCTGCATAAAATCACAACCTTTGACGGTTACTGCTGTGTGTTTCTCTGGATCTTAACACTCAGGTTGACCTGCAGGCCTCGTGCATACATTGATCGGACAAACAGGAAGAATCCCACTTTCCTTTTTTCAAACATGAAAAACATTTTGAACATGAAACCTGCTGAGCCTCTTTTGGAGGAACAGAGTGACCTTGTGGGCTCACTTCAAAGTGTTCCCACAGCTGGTCCACAAGATCGGCGTGACATATTTGAAGTATTATATGAAGCTGTTAAACTGTGATGGTTACCCTCAAGCATTAAGTTTCTCAGTATTAATGGTCTGAAAGGGTTTTAAAGAGCAGAGTAACGTCACTGTTAACACTGATTTAGTATCTACATGTAGGATGCACACAAAGCGACACAACAGGGCTTTGTTTAAATGAAACCTTGAATGTAGAGTCAGCAGCTTCTTCCTAAAAATGTAAATACAGACAAAACTAATGTCGCTCAATCATCGCTTATGGGCCTCCATACATGTGTGGTGGTGACTGAAATCCTGTCCTCTGGCTGGATTTATATATATATATATTTTTTTTGGTTGACAGTGCACAGGTGAGTTAAGTAGTGGCCCGCTGCTTCCAGGCTGTATAATCAAGGCCCTCTTGCTCAGTATGTCTCTCTAATGCTTTTGAAGTCGTTTGTATTGTTTCAGTTGTCCTAATTTTTGCTCTTTTCTTTGCAGGCATGCAATATAATTGTATTTTGATAAATAATTCAATAATGGTTTAAATTTATATATAGACAGATACAGATATAGATCTAAGGTGCTGAATAGAAAATAAGCCCCTCCTTCCACCATACAGTCTGCAGTCAAGGCTCCGGTCTGAAACCATTGCTAACCCCTCATCCTCAACCCCACCCACCCCCAACAACTATCACCTTTCACACAATACATGCACACACACCCCCTCTCATTCTTACTAGCCACTGTCTTAAGATGTTCTTCTTTTCTTCTTCCTTCCTTTCTTTGATTTTATAAATATAAGAAAATTTATATAAGAATGTTAACGCTCTTGTAAGGAACTTCAAGTTATCTCTTAATGTGAATCTTTGCTGTTCAAAAAGTCAACGAATGGACTCCAAGCAGTGGCTGTAAAATAAAGAATTGAATGTACATTTATAGAAACATAGAAACCAATGATTGAATTGATCATTGGTTTCTACACGTCATCAGCATTTTCTTGTTTTCTAGTTTATCTGGCCTCGTTGTTCAAAAGGGTTAATTCAGATATAATTGATCAAGATTTGTTAATCAATTTTTTTTCTACCACTGATCACATAATCCAGCTCATTCATCCTGGCAGTTCAGTGAAAAACTGGATTTGACCAACCTGATTCAGATACAGACATTACAGGGTTAGGCCTATTTGTTTGCAGGGGGCGCCAAACTCGATTCTCACAGCTGCTTCAATTTATAGAGTGACCGTTTGATAATGAAGCTTTTAAGTAAAATATTTGATGAAGACAAAATCCTTCATTATAACTATCCTAATGTGAACGTTGTCACTGAAGCAACACAGCATACTAGTAGAAAAAAATCTTTAAGAAATGTTTTCTTTCAGCAATCTGAAAGCTTATGTTTGACATATCTACCCTGTTAACCAGGCTGAATCCTGCCTTCTATAGTTTCCTCATGTTGGATTACTGTATAACTGGGACAAGTTCATGCAGAGGGCTGTTATGAGTAGTGGAAGTCCTATAAGCAACATTACTGGTTTCGCATGCGAGATAAAGATTGGCCCGTACGGGGATTGAACCCGTGACCTTGACGTTATTAGCACCATGCTCTAACAAACTGATCTAACCGGCCATGAGTGAAGGAAAAAAGCTGCAAATTCCAAAATCAGCTGATTCTAATTATGAAGCAATGTTGATTTTGGAATGTAGCAAGTCATGACACTTGTCCTTTAAACCAGTGACAAAGAGACACATCTACAGTTACAAAGTATTTTTACACTGACCTACCTCAGGCGTTGCAACCTCAGCTCAACATTTCATCAGTCATGTTGGTGTGTGTGTGTGTGTGTGTAAATTTAGCAGACTACCTTTGAGACTGACTCGAGGTCAGCAGGAACACATGAAGGTGATCGGGGTCGGTTACCTTCTGCACACTCACACTTGTGCTGACTGACTCTGGCACGCTGCAGTGGTGGAGTCAATGCTGGTTCAACACATGTCTGGCCATGGGGTATGTGCCAACACGTGAAAACAGCAAATACACAAACTCATACTGTAGCCTTCCCATAAATGGAAGACGATAATTTAAGTCAGTGAGATGAGTAACGTTACATTAATACCAGCATATAAAAAACACACAAAAGATAGACCTTAACATCAGAGTGATGAAGTCTGGTTACTAAAATACACTTAACAAAGCCTACAAGCAAAAAAAAACCAACAACACCGCAAATGTAATCAAATGTCAATTCCCATGTTTGCAGTTGTTTCCTATGTACATTTTCCAAACAAAATTGCCATGGCAGCAAACAAATGAGTTCCTCGCCCCACAAACATGCAATGAATGGAACTTGGGTTTTCACACTAAATCACATAGAAATGGTCCAGCACTTCCTCTTATGTCAAGCTAATTTATAGATGAAATGACTTCAAAGTCAATGAGCAGTGTATGCTTCAAATTGTTCATCAAAACAGGATGCAGACTGAACCAAGGGAGGGGGAGAAATCACAGCCAGAGTTTTATTTAGAGGCATTGATGAACATGTGGCAGCCAGATATCGCTTTACCAAATCAAATCTCCATCAGGGCTGCTTACAGATTGAAGGGGCATTTATTTTAAAGATAGAATTTGTGACACTATCTCGTATTAATATGTTAATCCTCCCCCCTGACATTGAAGTGGTGTTAGTCCTGCAGCCTTAGTATTATTCTGTTTGGAGCAGTGGCTATTCTAGAGTCTGTTGGGGCTCGAGGCAAAATTTTAAAGGGGCCCTCCAACCAGCGTTTATCACCTTTAGTTAATTATCAGCATTTGGAGGGGGCACTTCATCCTTCTTTTTTGTTGGTGTCAGAAATGCAAGTAATGATGTCAGCCCTCTGGGCCCCTTACTGGCCTGGATGCCCCAAGCGGTTTCCTGCCTTTCCTGTTGACAAGCTCCTTTCCTGTTGACAAGCTGCACCTCTGGTTTTGAGGTTAACATTATTGTTTCCTGTGGTCATATCGTAATCTGTAAATATGAAATTGATGTCGACACTGTGACGTCAGCCGCTGGTTTGTGGATTGTAGTTTTGAAGCCTCAAGTTTTGCATTTTGGTCAAAACCATCGTGGGTTTTTGAGAGGCCAAAAAGTAGATATTTAGAAGAGATGATGCAGCTGGTGAGGAGCACAAGGTTTAAAAAATGCTCTATCACTTTAACAGCTTAGATTGTTATCAAGGTATATTTAATATTTAATTGGTATTCATTGGGATGCTAATTTAGGCAAAAAAACTAACCTGGTAATCAAATGAACAGAGGACTACTGAGTCGTTTTTTTATTACAACTGAATGATGAGAAAGGCGTTTTTCTGTGTGCCGCGGTAGCAATTTGTCCACCACAAGGTAAAGCCACACCTTAAACCATACTTGCTTTGTCTGTTTATAAATCTGATCATTGTTGGGAAACACTCTAAACCAATATAAGACACCATAAACTCATTATTAGAATGTTTTTAAGGGTACTAAATCTGAGAGAGGTCTCAGTTGGGTCTATTTGTGGTAGAATGCAGGTTAATGGCACTTCGTATTCTAATTGTTAATGTGATCTTACATAGGTTGCGCCCCATGTACAGAGGCTATATTCATCCAAGCGGAAGGCCCGGGTTCAAGTCCGACCTGCCGCTGCCTTCCCACATGTCCTTTCCCTCTCTCTCAACCAATTGCCTACTCTATACACTGTCCTATCAAATAAAGGGAAAGCCCCCAAATAAAAAATAAAAAACACAACAAAAAAACAAGCCAAGTCAACAGATTCCTGAAAAACATTTTGTTCCTCACCATGTTTGTGAAATGTTAATACAAGGCCAGAAAAAAAGACAAGCTTATTTTCTTGTGAGAACATTGTAACATGTGTAGCCCTTGAGGGCAAAGTGGAATTAAAAAAATGTATCATCTTTGACTGAACCCAGCCTGCTCCAAAGACCTGAAACAAATCTGATGAGTTAAAGTAAAAAGAGAATACTTCATTAGAAACAGCAAAATATTTATTCACCAGTCAACACAACAAAGCATGAGGTCTGGAGACTGCAGTCCACACGCTGTTACATGCTTACCAAGATTCAGTTACCTACAAAGGGAGTATCCAGGTATCCTTCAGGTGCTCAAAGAGTATGGACACAATGTGCATACTAGCTCGTGTGTCTGTATTGTGAGGGGAGGTCTTGTTAGTTTAGCAATAAAAACAAAGTTAAAGTGATGAAAAGGTCATTTACTCCAAGTCCGTCTTTGAATCACAACCAAAAACTATACATCCAGGAACAAAAACATAACCAAGTGTATACTCGTGTGTCAACATGGGGAATCTATGTCAATGAAAATAAATTGGCAGGTCTTGGAGAAGAGCTTGCAGCATTCATGCAAGACGAAGGGGTGTTTCTGGGCCTTCTTTATCAGGGAGGAAGGAGGAGGGAAGTGTTTGTCCTAACTTGTGTTCTCCCTCGGTACCAAGCACTCAAAAAAAGATGGGCGGCAGTAATTGTAGCGGGTTATCAGTTCTCGAGGAAAGCCACGTAGTCAGTGAGTCTAGCCAACTGCTGCTCATTTGGAACCAATGAGACAGGGGGAGGATCTGCAGAGAGAGAGATAGACAAAGAGAGTGAGACAGATGAGGAGAAGTTGAGTCAGAGGGGGATTCCTTATTGTGCCAAGAACCATCCATCTTTTTTACATTTCAGTGGCTGCAGCACATGTGTGCTAACCCAAGAGAGATTGAGCAGGCTGCAGGTTAACCACAGCATCCACATCTGAGCTCACACCCCCTCAACCCCTTAAACAACGCTACCTACAGCGACTACCCCCGTGACTGAGAGACATTTAGCCTGGAGATCATTACAACGCTTCACATTTATTCCAACCAGAATGATTTCCTGTATGAGATCCACTCCACAACCAAAATTGCCAGGCACTGTTAAATCCTAGTGACGCTGTGGAGGGGGAAAAACACTAGGCATGTGAGGATTAACAGTGAGTAAGTGAACGATTTGTGCTGGACATGTGTGCACCAGATGCTGCAGAGGTAACGTCCAATGACTACAGACAAGAGGACAGACAGGACAGACAGGCCACAACCTACTACTCAAGAGGTTGAAGTTTTCTCCAACAAGATGGATCAATCTACGAGTCTCCAGGCTCGAGAACAATGATGATGTGACAAAAAAAATGATATAGTAGTGGAGCAAAAAGGGGAAAAAAGGGAATTGATGAGGGACCCTTTGGAGACATGGGCATTAAACAAAGAGGGATTTAGCAAATCAAAGTTGAAGAGATTCTAGGAAAAGGAAAAACCTCACCTGTCTTTCATTTAAAATAAACCGACCACTTGCACTCTGCTCTTAACTTTTTTTTTATGTGTCTAATAAAATCTAAGGGAGGACAAGTAGCAGAGAGGTGGGTGCAGGATTACTTATCAGGAGAAAAATGTCTGGCTAACACAACAGTGGGCTAATGTTGTGTACAAATAAAAAAGAGCAACACTGCCACCTACCTGGTTTTTTGGGCATCACCATCCTGGTAGCAGGGTCTGCCTGCCAGCCCTGGCTCACTACACCTTTAGACAAAGACAGAGGTGAGAAAGATACAGAAGCTGCCATGAAAGTGCTGATATAACCTTTTCTTCACAAGGATGGTTGTGTTGATTGATCTTACCCTTGACTGCCTCCTCCACAGAGTAACCCACAAAGGCTGCAAAGTCTTCTGCTGTTATTGAAGTGTAGGCCTGGGCCACTAGACTGTACGCTCTTTGCCGCGTGCTTTCTGTGAAGGATGCATGAACCACAGACACACTGATATTAGATAGCTGTCTACAGAGTGCATACATGTTAAAACTGTGATCTGGTTCTATTTAGAGTGCACACTGTACACAGCAGCAGACACTGACAACCTGCACACACATGGGACGTTAACATGGTACTGAAGAGTCCGGTTCAATGTAAACAAGGTCGCTTATTAGATTCAGCTCTAAATGTTCTTCACTGTGAAAAACAAACACAGTCTGACAGTTAGGGCCTGTTTCAAAAAAACTACTCCGTCATACATGCTGTGTACCTCGTGCACATTCTTGTTGGCTCGCATATGGTCGTTTTCTCACCCAGAGGGTAAGACAATAACACATTTCATACGCAGCGATTTTCACTTCTTGTAACTTTGCTGGTATGACAACTGGTAGACTTCCTGGAGATTTTCTAATGATGTTGACCTGGCTGTTGATAAGTGATGAAATAAATCAGTGTTTCACTAAGTTCCTCTCAACCCTTCATTTCATATTCAGCCAGAAGGAGAAGGCACTCCAAAACGACTTAAAAATTCTGACTCAAGCTCTAGACTTAAATACACATTGAGCTATTTTGAACAGACGCTGTTTATCTTTGGTTTTAACTGCTTCTAGCATCTGGGTTTGTTTAAAGTTAAACGGTGCATTTTGTCTGATTTGATTGCGGGCTAAAAGAAAAAGGAGGATTAAGATTTTCCGTAATCAAGAACACTTAAACACCGATCCTGTTAAATGAAGCATGCTCAAGATGAATCATGGATATGTGCTGTGCTGTGCTTATACAACAAACAACTGAAGTCTTTATCAGCAGGCACGGATTCAGGCTTCTAAAATTCCTGTCCTATTTATCAGGCTCGACTTGACATGGTGCTGTAGTTACTGGAGATAGCATTAAGAGTGAGAGCGCCTCACAACAGCACGGAACCAAATGCACCCGGCGTGTATCTGCTCCTGGAGCTATCACGTAAATGCCTCAGGGTTGCGGCCTTTGGTGGTTTATAGCCTAGCAACGGTTTATGTGTACCAACAGTCAGCCTCCCGTCTGCTGCAGCAGCTAGCAGCAGTAACAATAACAAGTTGTGGCGATGAGAAAAGACAGCTGTGAGGGGGAAGGCCAGAGATTTGTCAGGAGAGCTTTGTCATTCTGCTGTCCAACAGGCTTCCACTTCTCCTCGTTATTGTTCATCTAAGAAAAACAGGTGGAAGGACTGAGAATATTCATTTGGAAAAATAGGTCAAGGAAAAGATTTATGTATGAATTGCACTGATGGTAATTTATTTATATCAGAGCATGTTTATTAATGAAAGTCATGAATAGAAGGTCAAGTAATGACTCTTTGAATTCTGTATTAGAGAAAAGTGGTACTACGGTAATACTTTTGTTTTGTCACTTTGGTTGTCTTATACTTTATGATTATTTACAGAGATAAAGTGCTTTTCTCCTCTCTAATTGGTATAAAAATCTGATCTGTCAAAGGGGGAGTCCCCTATTTTTAAAACTGGGGACCTTTTTTAAACCTATTTTTGGATCAAAATGACTAATGGGTATAAACAGGTTTGAAAACTGCTCCAGTCGATCTCTTCAGGCTGCAGCTGCAAAAAGAGCTGTGATGACTGTGACATAAAATTTTCAAGGACGCTGCATTGGCTAAAAGTAATCCTCCACTGCATGTGCTTGTTTCTGCTAATTACAGCCTCAGGATTTTATTTTAAGTTTCTCACAACATCCCAGAAATGAACTCTTGTAGTGCGGCTGTGGATCAGAGGTAGAGTCAGGGGTTCAATCCCCAGCAGATACATGTCCAATGTGTCCTTGGGCAAGACACTTGAATGTGTATGAATGGGTTAAGTTATTCCTGATGGTCTCACTACATAGCAACCTCTGCCATCAGTGTGTGAATGTGTAGGTGTGACCTGCTACACAAGCTCAAGTCCATTTACCTTGATAACTTATATTGTCGGCATAATTGTGTGATAAAGAGTGATAAAATGAATTGGTTAGAAACTATCAAAATGGTTGAAGCATTGTTTTTTTTTTTTTTTTAAATGGAGTGTCGTGGCTTTGACAAGAGCGGTGTCAACAAGTGCATCTTGTTTAAAATTGCACAAAAAGCAGCATTTCTGAAGCCAACCCATTCCCTTAGAGGGTTTTAATGATAATCTGAGCCTGACATTGGCCAAAAGAAAAATCCCTTTTAGTTGACATACTGCACTCAAAGCAGTCTATTGGATTACTTCAACTTTAAGTACATATAAGTCTTTTAGATCCCAAGGGTTTGGATCATGATACCTTTTTCATTCACACTGTATATCACTGTTCATAAAGGTTCCTCCTTTGTTTTTTGAAAACCTTGTTTGATTCCGACCTGCTGAAAATAAGAAAAGAACTGAGGACTCAGAGCATATGTTTCTAACACAGCCAAGCAGGTCATCTCAAGGGGCTTTTTGTAACCCAGTCCCCAGGCAGACGTGTATTTTTACTTTGGCCTTTTGACCGTGAGGAGATGACTTGTGTGGCAGCTGGACGGGCCTTTCTTAGTAGGCTCTCTCTTGACACCCACACAGAGTTGGGTTGGAGCTGCTGAGCAAAGCATCCATGTGTGGGAGAACGGGGAGTTTTTATGGAGGAGAAACAGGACCTGGCCTGTCCTTCCCTCACTGTCTATTCCAGGGCGGCTATCACTTCACACCCTCTCACCTCTTAAAAATAGCCCCCACTCTTCACCGGCTAAGGCAAAGCAGACAGGACATGGCAAGGGCTTTTATTTTTACATGCAGCCTATTGCCAAGTAAGAGCAGCAACAGCAGACTGTGGGACATTTTGATGGAAGCACTCCACTCTGTATGACCTAAATAATGTTGGGACGTCGTGTTTTAGTCCTTTGTATGCTCCCTTAGACTTTATGTTTTAGTTAAAAAAAAAAAGAAAAAAAGAAATAAGATTCTTGACTTCATGCAGCTTTATTCCACATTTCTTGAAAGACAGATTTGGTGATTACAGGCAGATCAACTGATCACAGATTCAACTCAAACTAAAACAAAGTGAGAAAAATACAAATGACTCTTTCCATAAGCTAACTATGAGGATAATGATGTGTTAGCAATCATCCAATATCCTGAATTTACACTCATATGAAGATCTTTTTTTCATTTCAACGACTTAAAGTACAAAAGTATAAAAAGACATTAAGAAAAGGTACAACATTAACATTAAATATTGCACTGAAAGTAAGGCCAAGCTATTTTAGCCCATCCCTTAACCTTATAATATATTTGACATTAAACAGAGTCTCTGTCGAACACACAACCTTCAAAAATACACATTTTAATATTTCCTAAGAGTCCATGACCAGTTGGATTTCATTATTCCTCCTCCTCCTCATCTTCTGCATCTTCAAATTCATCTGCATCACCTCCTCCAAAGTCCATTTTCGCCAGGACAGCTTCAACATGCTCTGTAGACAAAGTGAAGTGGTCCATCTTCTCATAGCCTGGCTCTGGCCTCTCCTCGCCCAGAGCGTGCTTGGATGCGTCCTTGGTCTGTGTGATGAGGCCCTTGGAGGCTAACAGAAACTCAGCAGCACTACCCTGCTCCAACGCCCTCACAGCCGTGTCTGTGAGCTCTGAACTGGTCTGCAGGCGTTCGACGTAACGTTGAGCCAGGGCCCGCAGAGCTGCCACCTTTTCATCTTGCTCTTTACCAATCTGCTCCAGCAGAATGGTCTTGCGCTCTTCCAGTACAGCATAAAGCAGGTCGAAGCGTTCACCTAGCCCTTGCTTAGCACGCTGAGAGTTCTCCATCACTACACGGCAGGAATCTTCCATCTGATTGAGCAGGGCCTGCAGGCGGCTATTGCTGGCGACCAGGGTATCAATAGCATTACTCAGTTCCCCTTTCTGAGCCTGATAAACACTTGGTATAGGTGCCACTTCACAGTCTTTGTGCTGACCAAACACTTTGCACATGGAGCAGGTGGGAACCTGGCAGGTCATGCAATAGATGTTGATTTTCTCATCCTCATGTTCCTGGCACATCGGCTCTTTGGATTCTTTAGGCTTTAGGGTTGGTTCCGTGCTTCCGCTGTTGTTACCTTCCTGCTGCTGCTTATAGATGTCGATGATATTTTCTACCAGCAGGTTGCGTTGGAGCCCGTGTACACCATGGCGGTCAAGCACAACCTCAAAGCGGCAGGTAGGACAGCGAAAGACTCCTCCAGAGAAGCGGTATGGGTTTCGTGAGTCGTACAGGTCGCTGGCACAACCGCGACACAGGTTGTGCTGGCAGGGCAGGATGACCACCGGCTTGGTGAACATTTCCAGGCAGATAGGGCAGCTCAGCTGCTTCTCCAGGCTATCCATGGGGCTCGGGGGACGAACCATAGATCCTGTTCTCTGGATGTCCATAATGAAAAAGCTTGCTGAAGTTCGACCAGTAAGCGTCCCGATTCACAAAGTAAAATTACCAACTTTTCTCTGTCGGTAACTAAAATGGCGGGCAAACTCTCCAACCTCGTCCTCAGTGTGTGCTGTTGAATGCTGATATCTATTCTGGGTGACAGCTAGCAGCTCGGCCCTTTATAGCAGCCCTTCAGTTGGTGACATCTGATCCTGTCCACCAACCAGAGCACACATTCCTGCCAGCTTGCTTCCTTGGGATGTTTTCACAGAAAATGGCCCCCTCCAACCAGGGGCAGCATGTGTCTCGTGTCCCAGTGGGCATGACGTCCCATCTAACAGCAACACAGGTGGAGTCTGAGCAGAGTCAACCATGACCCATGTGACAGGCTCAGATAGGAAACTCAGTCCAATTTGTAAACAAGTCAGTGTCAACATCTGTGACACCTGTGCTGTTCTGAATATTTTATCTCCTCGAGGTTGTTGTTGTTGTGTATCCAGTTTTCTTCTTATATAATCTGTTCTATTTACTCAAAAAACAAATAACTGCTTTTGACAGTCAACCAATGATGTCAAATTAAAATGATTAGTTATAACTTTATTGAATCATTGATTAAATCAAGTTTAGGCCTTTTTTCCTTTTTAAGTCTTTTTCTTTTCAAAAGTAACAATTTAACTTTTGAGTTCTGTTCTTTATACATGACTGTTGGGGTTGTCTGCAGGTCAAATTCAAAAGTTCTGGTCCATTAGTGGGGCAGGTGTTATGTGATATGATGTTATTTATGTAATTTGAAAGCCTAATAGTCATTGTTTATAAGCTTGTAAGACTCCTCATTTGTTGTGGTCCAATTGTTATTTAGAGACAATAGCAATGGGATAGTCATAACCTAGTCAATAAAGAGTGGATGTATGGAAAACCAATTCACATGATAATAAGAACAGTGTTATTTCAATCAATTGCTTTGTCGGATTATTAAAAGATGCTTTACTTAAACCTCTCAAAATAGTCCAATGTGTTCATTTTTCATCTAGAACACTCTTTATTTACCTTTTCCAACAAGAAATGATGATCAATGGTTACCCAAGTGTCTTATGACATGATTTCATCAGTATCTTTGGCACATCAACACAAAGTACGGTAAACATGAGGGGTAAGCTATTCTTAAACTGTTGCACAAGATCACATGGTACATGTTCCCAGACAACTGGACAGGAGGACAATCATTTCATGTTCCTCGAAAAGATGCAACAGAGGTAAGAAAGCTATGTGTGGATGAAAACATTTAGATATTAGGTTTCATGATGGGAGAGAACCATTGTTTGTGTTCGAGAATCTGACAACTAACTCAGAGTGTCATGCCGTAACACCATGAACATCATGAAGCATCATTAATCTCCGAGCTGATAAAAATGTTTAACTCGGTCAGAGGGTTGCATCACGACTGCAGCTGTGTTTAGCTGGCGCCCCCTGCTGATTGAATCTTGCAGAGAGAATACATGTGCTTATTTCACTTCAAGGTTTTTTAAATGTCCCTACATGACATTTCGCATAATGTGACAAGCTTAAAAATAATATTTAGAAGTTGTTTCAGAAACCAAAAGCTACATTACATGTCAGGTAAAGTGTCAGATTTCAAACCAGACACGATTTAATTCTTGTTTTGTTGTTTACCTTGAAGTGCTTCCATGACAGGAAGTATATTCTCTGTCCACTGGAAGGCTGCGATGGTCGTGTAGATCCCTGGAAAGTCCCGCTGCCATATGCGTTGGCCGACTGCCCAAATAGCTCCTAATTCAGGATTTGCCTACAAACAGCAAAGGAGGAAATGTTTCAAAGACTTTCATCATGCTACATTTGTTTTTCATGCTACTGTTGAGAGCAGTCATACCCAAATACCCTAGATATTAAATCATGAGGATTACATTTCTGATTAGTATGTTGTTCATGAATAACAGGGATTTGTTTCTAAGAACTGTGAACAAATCCTTCAGTTGAGCATCTGACAAGGAATGATCGTCTTGGCAATAACATCCTTCAATTTATAGTTATAAAGTGAGAAGGGATAAGAAAACAAATCACTCATGGTTCTCCCAGCAGGTAAAGACTGATGCATTGTGGGACTGAAGACAGTTACAGCAAATGTCATGGTTGACTTACAACTTACAGGGTTTATGGGTTAGGGTTAGTGACATTAAAAACATGAAGAAAGGTCAAAAACAGTTTTTAGAGTTCCTGTGAGAAGCTCTCATTTATGTCTATTTAGCGCCCCCTGTGGACAAAGAGGTGCCTCTTGTCTCTTTCTGATTTTGTCCTGCACATGAAGTAGTGTTTTTTTTTTTAAAACAAAATCCCTCCTTCTGCCTTCTTTTAAAAGCAAATCCTATCACTCGTTGTGGGTCTTAGCTGTGTAAAATGTCAACAAAGGGAGTTTTTTCTGTGTGCTGCCTGTGACTCACTACATCTAACATCTATCTGGTGTCATTGAGTTCAAGCATTAAGAAATATAACACAGAAGATACCAGTCATGTCACTGATGGTCTTATTTGCTTTTGAAGGTTTCATAGAGGCATCAGTATGAATGAAGTCTGTTTTATAACAAACTAAAAACTCCTCACATGAACTTTGACAGAAGATGTTGATGTGAAAGATAATGAAGGAGCACAATCAGGAAAACCAGAGTCAAACTTATGTCAGCAGTACTTTCTCAGTAATGTGTTTATTTTCACATACTTACAGATTTGATTGCTTGGGGAATCCTTTTCCAGAGATACCTGCCGTTATTCCTGTTGGATTGATATACAAAGGTTAGCCCAATCACAGAGGACAGAGGACATTTTAAGCAGTGATGATGATGCTTTGTGTGTCTTTGCTTCTATTTTTTATTTGTATTTGATGACTGTCAACTGAAAAACAAAATCAAAACCGATAACTCAACCCAACGATATAAGACAGCTACGCTCACACACATTTACAACGAGCGAGGAGGGGAAGAAATAAAAAAGACAAATTCATGTAAACACTGTGTCAAAGACACAAAAGCATAAATATCATTATATGTCATTATTGTGTTATTGCTAAATCCAAGCTGTCCACAATGGAAATGTACAAAAAAAGAAAACAAAATAAGGGCAATCAATGTAAAAATAAAAACACAATCAAGATGAGTCAAAATGTTACAAAAGAAAGGACCCCAAAATTTGTCCCACTTCTGTTTACGTTAAATTGTTAGTTTACAATTTCTCAATTTTGAATAACCAAAACCAGTTTATGCAACCAGTATGGAAGCATGTGGAGTCGGTGTCTTCCGGTCTTTGAGAATCTTTTTTGTGTGTGTTAATACCATGACCATCAATAGAGCTGTTTGAATGTATGAAGGGAGCCATGAGGGGTCCTCTGAGGCTCCAAAAAAGCCAAGTCTCTGTCAGGAGAGGAGAGAGTGTCCTCTGATAAACCCCAGAGAAAAAGGAGGAAAAATCTTCACCAGAACTGATGGCAATCCTAAATTACATGCAAAAATCTACCGTTGTTTGATTTACATTCATTACATTCTGGAGACACGGAGGGGTAAAACTTATGAAGCTTAACTTTAGAACTATGCGTAAAATTCAAAGACTTAAGAAATGAACAGAACAAGCAAAGTATGAATAAGGTATAATAAGTTAAAATGTTGCTCTAAATCAAGTCGGCACATATTATCATTTAATGCGTTCTGGTCCATTGATAACAAAGTTCTGGTCCTCTGTTCAAACAGCGATGGACCCAAAACGATGTCTGCTTGATGTTAGCTCCGTGTCTTGATGTACATCCCCCTACGTAATCAATTCGGTTTGATAAAATATGATGAATTCTTCCTTACGATGGGTTATCCAGTGTTTTGCAGGGAACCTAACCCAGCCTGTGTGAAAGTAGACTGAGCTCATAGCCTAATGAGTCTTGTGTATTTTTTCCCCTTACAAATTCCTCCCTTTTGTGTATTTTTGTCCCTTTTACTTTGTGTTATGTTTTGAATGTGTCTTCAGGTTGGGACATCAGTAAGATCTCAATGCAGATCTCATGATATGTCATGATATTAAACTCAATAAGCAGTAATTAGGGAGGTATTGAGGGGTCAACTCTTGGTTAACAACCTATTAGCTATAGATTATGGTCATGTAGATTAAAGTACTAATAAACTCTTAATAATGACTAATAAGCAGCCAGGATGCTCCTGGTTTACTAATTAGGATGCTAAGAAAGAACTACTTAATGATGAACATTTTTCAATATAATTTAAAGTGTTACCAAAAAAAACCTACAGAAGTCAGCATCTGCAGACAAACACAACGTTGACTCACATGTCATTATGAAGTAAATAGAGAGACAGCAGCTGAGCGTAGACTTGAGGTGTTGCGATGCCACCTGGAGCCTGTTTGAAATAAATACAGGTGGGATAACAGACATATGGCAAGCCGTTCAGGAAATTAATATATTGATTGAAACTTTGAATATATGGAATGGAACTTTGAATATATGGAATGGAAGTCCGTAGTGTTATTTCAGCTTACATCTCAGTAAGAGACTAAAAAAAATCCCTAAAGATGGATGCACAAAGTGCGCTCAGCAAACTCACGTTTTGTTGAGCATTACTACTCATAAGCAGTAAACGTGTTCCAATAATTGAACTATGATCTTCAAGGTGACGCGTTCTACATTCAAAATTAATCATGTAATTTTGAGTAAGAACAGCTGTTTCAAAAAAAGTTTTGGCGGTCAACAAGTATTGGTATATTTCAGCTGATGTCATTTTGCAAAACCAGCATATTCAGCAGGGTGTCTTTTGGATGACAACAATGAAACTGGTGGATTTGGAGAATTGAAATCAGCTTCATTCCTTGTGTTCAACGTTCCATTCCATATATTCAACGTTCCATTCCATATATTCAACGTTCCATTCCATGTGTTCAACGTTCCATTCCATATATGAATTTCCTGAACGGCTTGCCATACAGACATTAAGTATAAACAGAGCACCAAGCTGTAGTCACCTCCCTGAACACTGCAGGTTTTACAGAGCAGTAATAAACACTGTGACTTCAGCTACAGACTGGATCACCTTTAAAAGTTTTGTTGTCATTGCCTTTAGCTTCTAACACCAACCATAGGGGTGTAAATCTGACACACATTATAACATAACAATGTCTTTATAAGCATTCAACGTCATTACAATGGATCTCTGAACATTAATGTTAGCTCGCATGCTAAAACCTGCAAATAACACAAGTGAAAGCAGAGACTAACATCCACCCATAGCGTAGAAAATCTCCATGTATTTGTTGACATTGTTGGTATAACACGGGTTAAGTTAAGTGGTAAGTGATTGATAAGAGATGTAAAGTTACATGATCGTTTAAGAAGAGGAAACAGGCTCATTTCTTAGCCATAACGTTAGCTTAAACTAGTCACAGCTAACCTACTGTCGTAAACAGAAACGTTCCTGTCGTTAATTCAGAGGCGTAAATCATGTAGGACACGAAATAAAGTAATTTCAGTGTTCAGTGCTTACCTCAAGCTCCTGAGCCTCACACTGTTCTAATAATTTATCAAAGTTTTCTTCCATAATCACAGCAGTAGGCATGATAAATGCCTATCTGGTGCACCGGAAACTTCTTCTTCTTCTTCTGTATAATTGCCGTAGATTAACAGCGCGTCAGTGCTGTTGCTGCCCTCTGCTGGATGAAACACAAACGAGGGATATTGTTCAGGGACTCTCACTTTCCTGGCAATGCACTCGGCTTTTGGCTTATACGTTAGTTTACTACCTCTTACGAAACAAAAGAGATCCAATAAAAGATCATACATAATATGTCCTATAACTCATACATCTCAAGGTTTGATCAAATTAGAAACACATTTGTAAAAAGGACAAGACAGCATGATACATTTATCCAACAAATGTCTGGTATTCTGGAGAGCTTTAGAGAAAATGTTATTGCCAATTATATGAGGTGTACAGTTTATTTGTTGCCTAAAGATATCATCTTATTGTATAGAAATAAAAACAATACAACTCCAACAGACAATTCACCTCTTGGTAAATTTCATATCCATACATCTCACCCACGCTTTATAGTATTTATCACTGGATGTTAAAACTGTATAATGAATTGAAATCTAATTAACATCAAGAAAGCTTTACAAACTGTAAATCTGATCAACATGTTTTGAAGATGAGGTATTTTGAGTGTTTTTTTTATTGTACAGCATGTAACATGCTGCTGTAAATTAGGAGACGCTTTACAAAAGAGCATAAGGGATAATATGCAGGAAGGATTTTTTCTTTGTATTCCTCTCGTTCCTTTTGTCCACACTTCCTTGCTGAGGTGGAGGTCGATGGGGACGATGGTGGCTGGGCGTCAGGGACGTCAGGTGGTAGTAGTGCCAGATCACCTCACTGAAGGTCGGGGGAGCTCCGTCTTCTCGAGAGCCCTGTCTCTGCTGCCAGGACAAGGCCTCTTGTATAAGCGTTTCTGTTTTTTCTGTTTTTTTTAGAAACCTAAGATCATTTTATTATTTATGTTCCTGCAGTTCTTTATCCAAGAATTCAGCGTGCTCTGAGTAAACTCCTCACCATTACCCTGAGATTGCCTTTCTCCTTAATGATTCTCTGCTCCCTGCCAATGCAGAGGATTTCTGTTTTAATCCTTGTTGATCTCTCCACTTGCTTTGATGCTGTTGAGGACAAACTCTAAATCTTTTCCCTTCACTCTCAGTGGACACTGTAATGAGCCTGTTTTCAACACAGACTTCTCTTAATGTCTCCAATTCAAACTGTAAAATGAGCACCTTTTCTTTAGTTTAGTTTTGTACTTGTGCCACAGCCGTATTTTAGACATCTCATCGATTGATGCTACACTATTTCAAAGCTTTGTTATAAACACATCTTTATGATGATCTGATATACAAAGACAATGTGCTGTTCCATATCCTCTAGAGAATCATTTAAATTATTATGTTGGGTTTTTTTTATTATCAGTGGAATTATTAAAGTAATTTTAATATGATATTTACTAATCTTAATTTTTTCGTCTATTTTATAAATTCAAAAGTACCAATAAATCTTTATTCCCATAGCGGCAGATGAATACAATAGTCAATTGTGATTAATCGCTAAATTTGAACAGTTTGTAAGAACAAATCCCAACTCACTACTCTTGCCACTCACTACTCTTGCAAGAAATAACCAATTTATTGGGGAAAAAACACAACCTTTCACTCCCTCTGAACCTTTTCCAAGTACGCTTTCAAAGTGATAGTTCGATGTCTTATGCACCAACTTCAGGAGCTCGTTGGATGTGCGAACACCTTTAAAACAAAGCCTTGTTAATTGTTAACTTCTCTTAGTTTGACTTCCTGTCTTTGCTTCTGTTCTCTTTGTTTATAAACCCTCCTCTTGACGATATCAAATGGAAACATCCCTGCTGAAAATGAAAGATGTGGCAAAGATATATTTAATCTCTTGCGGTTGAGGTTATGAAACAGTCACATGACATCACCATGCGTTGGTGCACTGGCTTTTAAAACGATTTTCTTTGTGACATAATATTCAGGATCGTCACCTGCTGAAAGCTGCAGGGCCTTTCTGACAACACATTTCAGTTCTCTTTGTCCTGTGGGATTAAAAATGATACTTACCCATGCATCCTTTTTGCAGGATTAAATGATTATGTTTTATAACTTCATGTTTATGTTCCTCATCCTCAGTCATTACCCTGTGTTGTTGCTCTTGATGTGGTCCTTTCAGCATGTTGTTTCTCTGGTTAGATGAACTGCTCTTATTCCTCGTATGGCTCGGGGGTGATTAAATGCACTCAGTGTCCACTTGTTGAATGCTGCTCTGCCCTCTTATTGCGCTTGCTGCTCGTCTGATTAGGCCTCTTGTCTAACTGCTGCATAATGTTTGTTTGTGGATTTCTCCACCACTTCAATCAGATGCACTCTAACAATATAAAACCACAGCTGGACTGCAAGCTGCCACTTTAAGCACGCAGTCAGCGGAAGATTTGTCCAAGCTGATCCAGTTCTATCTCTATAGTAACATGTTTTTAATGTCACTGAGTCGTTACAACATTTGAGTTTCTGAAAAGTCTTCAGCTGAGTTTTTTGTTGTGGCAGAATTATACTAACATAGCTGCAGTGTCGATCCAGGTAATCAGATACATTATAGATACAACAGATACAACAGCTTGTTACTCATTGAGACAAAGGTCTTTGGCATGTTTTGGCTCTGTTAAAGGTTGAATTAATACCTTTTTTATTCGTAGGAAGGTTTGTTTTAGTTTCTGTTTTAACTTCTACTGTCGTCATTTCAAATATGTGGTTAGGTCTGTTTGAAGAGCAGCCTTTAGAGTCTGTTTTGAGACACCTTTAGAGTCAAATTTAGGGAACAATTTTAGCCGACGACCAGTTCCTCTAAATGATCAGAACATAAATCTTCACTGAGGCAGAACACGTTAAGAAGACTTTCACAGCTTATCCATCAATCAGCAATTAAGCCAGACTGAACCATGTTACCCTTTACTTTTATCAACGGACTTTTCCACTGGAAACGATTACCTTTGTAATCAGTTGCTGTAAACAGTTATTGATTCATCTAATTGCGTCTGAACCCTTTAACTCATTCACCTGTTGCATTGCACAGCTGTATAAATCATTCACCCTAACTAAAGGTCCCAGCAGAGAGGAAAACGCTCACTGTTTGTTTAATGTAAATCAGGTCAACAGGTATATTGTTACTTGACCCCATCAGGTCAAGCTGATTGGAAAGGAAAGGAGAGGAGAGGAGAGGAGAGGAGGGGAGAGGAGATGAGGGGAGAGGAGAGGAGAGGAGAAGAGCACATATATTTAGATGTAAGTAAGGTTTGGTTCTCTGTTTGTTTGTGTGTGATACTCATACAGACGTTAACTCTAAGGAGTTTGGAGACAATGTTAAATCCGTCATTATTTTTTTTTCTATTTTAAATCACAGGCTTTAACTTCATTTGTACTTTAACATAATCAATATATTATTTCAAAGCCGACAATAACGTGGACGTTTTTTATTCAAGTTTTGGAAGTAATCACATTTTTATGAATATTTAACCAACTTTGAATTCTCTCTATGTCAAGCTGTTTCTTGCTTTTAGCCTGATGGCAATGTCCCTTCCAGCTGTCTGAAAAATGAATGTTTCCATCGGTGGAATAAAACGAGGATACAGCCAGAGGGACTTCTGGAGGTGAGAATAGATGTGTTAACACTTTGAGCTGTACCAGATCCATTCAACGGTCCTTTCCTCCTGAAAATGAGATGATATCTATCGACTATGTTCCAGAGTGCTGCTGGCTTACATGATATGTCCAGAGAAATCCTATTATCTCTGTGCGGCTTTGTGTATGGATAGTGCTTTCTCAGGGAGTTATCATGTAGCTCACAACTTGTGGGAAGGAGTTTCCAATGGACCGTCAGAGTCAGGCTCTCTGTTTGCATCCAGGGGAATGCCAAATTCATTTTTTGGTGGGTTCATGGCCAGCCTCGCTGAGCTTCTGCAGTGGCGTGTCTCTTGGGGCCCTCAGCAAGAATCAATTTGGGGGACCCTCCAACCAGAGTTCATAACCATCATGTCTGACAGCCAGCGCTTACTCCTCTTTCTCTTTTTTTCCTGTTTCTTTTTTCTCTCCTGTAGACGAATAATTGCTCTTCATTTTTCTTTGTTGACTTTCATTGACAAACTTTGGTTTTCACAGGAATACTGCATGCAATGCTTAGCAGGGCAACAAGAGTGATTGCTGTCAGATGTGATTGCTCCCCTTAGGGAGGTTTCCGTTGCTAGATTTATACATTTTGGTCCACGGCTTTGGTTTAAGTTTGTGAGCCCTCTGGTGCCCCCTACTGGTCTGGGGCCCCGAGCAGTTGCTTGTCTTGCCTGTTGGCAATCAGCGCCTCTGGGCTCCTGTGATCGATGGATGCAGAGTGGGATTAGAAATAAAACACCATCATCGTTAGAGAGGGGCATGTTGAAAGTTGTGACAGTCAGGGATATCGTGTTAAACTTTCATCCCATTGGAGCACAGAAACTCTACACGTCATGATTCACTGATAGTTTTAAGAAATCCTCCAAAGAAGATTGTTAACTTCAGACAACGAAACTTCAAAAACATGTTATAATTTGAATAAGAAGAAACTAATTTGATGCTCAAATGTGAGCACAGTTTTACTCAGTTTCAGAATTAAAAACCACATTATCTGGCCATTTAAAATCAAATGAGCAAATATTTTACTCTCTTAGTACCAAAAGTGTTTTTATCTAAGACACATCTAAAAACACTTTAAGACTTTGTGACACAATGTAGTGGCAATGACATGTGCTCTGCAGCCTTCTGTGACTGCAGGGCAGAATTCACACCCACCAAATCACAACATGTCCCGTCACTTGGACTAGCATGACAAGAAAGTGTTTTGTTTGGTTCAATGCACATACGCCTTTATCCAGACCGGATAAGCATAACTCCAGCTCTAGGGTAAGCACAGACACCAGTTGACAAAAGGTCACAGATCTGAGTTTGAAGGTTTTGATATATGCATTCTTGCAGACTCAACACACCAGCTAACATGTTTTGCATGCTGTTTGGACCTTA